CACTTTCAAAACATAGTTAAAAAAGGGTTAAGCTTCTCAAACCAGGCAATTAATATGGAAACAGTTACACAACCTTCATGGGCTCCTCTAATTCCTTTTTGGTACTAAACAGACATGTATTTGTAATATACCCTAATAAAAAACCCCCTATGAATAAGCAACACATTTTTCAGAAGCAAATCTCTTCCCATTTTATCTCCTGGTACAAAAGTATTTCGGCCTCAATTTTTTTCAGTCCTGCCCCCAGTCTCCTTCCCCTCACCCACGCCTTCTTTTCAAACAAAATGAGCCTGTCCCTGTGTCTATCCTCTGGAACAGGATTAAAGTTTCACACTGAGCCTCTTGCCTGGTTCGCAGTAGCAGATCATCTGTTTGAAAGCTTCTGCTCCGGGCAAGACAAATTTGCTATGGCGTTTTCTTCAACCCACAATCTCCTTTAGCTTACACGTAAAACAAAGCTGGAGGAAACCTTTCCTCAGCACTCAGTACAGTTCCCAGAAACTAACTTTTCTACGATACTTAGAAAAGCATCCTTTTCAAAACATGTCCTACGTTGACATTACATTTCTTGAGTTCTTCAGATCTTCTTGTTTGAGGATGGGAAACAAGAACAGAAATACATATACATTCATCCACTGACTCGGACATAGGCATTAAAAAGAGTAATAGTAAATCAGAACTGTATCCCTTACCGAGTGTTTTCATAGGTCCATTGTTTTTTTAAAAAATAATAAAAAAAGCTTTTCCTATTGCTTTTTGCTGAGTTCACTTGCTCTGCAGATTTTTAGCTTCAGTATTAAACTGGTACTGAAAGATTGGCATAGATTCTCTTCCAACACGAAGTACAGCAGCCACGCAGCAATAAGGAACAACAGAGTCGCTTTAGTGGTAAGCATCAGGTTCATTTAATTCATTTAATAACATCTTCAGCTGGAAGCTATGTCACAGCTGCCAGATCCAGAAGATTGTTTCAAAAGAGCATCTCTGCTGCCTGCGTTTTAGTAACCCACTTGTAGTCAACATCCATCAGCTTTACTATTTCAGTCTTCTTTCGATGGCACTTGGCTTTAAGTAGAGGCCCTTTATCATGAAGGCCAGCCACACGCACAAGTCACACCTCTGCAGCAGATAATACAAGCCTTGCCCCAAACCAATTACTTCAGCAAGAAAAAAAATGACATTTGGAAAATAAAATTGTAAGCAAGACAAGATCAAAAAGGTATTACATGTTTCAAGACCATCTCTGTCAGAGTGGTTTGATCAAAACCAGTAGATGTGAAAACAGCCTCCAGGGATCTGCTGTCCCTCAGAGAGACCAGCACACTCCGATTTCTCTCTCTAGTACCACATGCCAATGGCCCAAGAGCTGGGGAGCCTTCAGATGGTAAGTTCCTTAAATGGTGGATACTGATAAAACCAGAGGTTCTTCCACCAGCTGAGCTACAGACCCATTGCTTTGCGTTCAGGCATTAATTAGTGTCATTGCATCTTTGCTACATAAAGGAACTCCTCCTTCCTCAGAGCTGTGTGTTTGTCCTTTGTATCTTTGACTGGAAAAAAGGTCCATTAGATATAAATAATCCACTCTTTGCATATTTGTTCTCTAAATTACTGAACATAACTGGTTGCTAGTCTTGCAAGAGCCATCTTAAGCTTGAACTTCTGAGGTTTCCTGCTTCGAAGATCATTGTAACAACCCTGAAGTGTGTTTTTTACCATGCAGTATCCCTCCTTCTGAGGCAGGGCTGAATTAAAGATCAGGCCGCTGCTTCCTCAGGAAATCACGAGGTTTGTTCTGCCCCATGCCCTCCAGCCGCCAGCTTCCGCAAGCGGCCAGTACATGCCTGTCCTCCCCACGTTTCCCCCTTGCTGTAATCGCCTCCCTGCCTGGGGCCGTTTGCGACTGGGGAGCCGAACTGGTGCCTCTCTGTGTCTCTTTCTCCCCTGGGTGCCGCTGGTGGGAATGCACCCCTTCCCAAGAGTGGCCAGGGGGGAGCCGGGTTCTTCCCGTAGGTGCCCTCCCATGGCTTACCTGTAGATTTGTATCGCATGCCTGCTCTGAACTGCCAGCTGAGATGCCATCTTAGGGCTGCAGCTCGCCATTCCCAGGCTGACATCCCCACCCTAGCACACGTGTGGACAAAGGCACCACTTGTTCCAACAGCCAGAAGCCCTCCAAAGGGCTCTCTCTCTCACCTCTTCCCCTACAGCAGGGCTAACCCTCCATCAGCAACGCTTGAGCAGCCCTTTGCTCACAGGCACTCCCACAGGGGCGGCTGCCACACCGGACCCCGGCTCTGCTGTCACCTCTGTCACGGCCTGAGGAAGAAGAAAGCCGATTCATGCCTTTAGCACCTTGAGACAACTCCGAATACACAAAGATGGATTTTGAAGGCCCTGGAGCTCCACTTCCACCCCTACTTCAAGTCTTCAGCAAGACTGATGAGCCTCATGCTGGTCTGCAGGAGTCATCCTCACCTGAAGCAGGTCAGGTCAGTTCAGAGGGTGCCTTTTCTTCCCAGCCATATTTGCCAGAGGAGCCCAATTTCACTGTTACTCTGCTTCCTTGATTTGCTTATGTGGCAATCAGTTTAAACCTGCAGTATTTTACTTACATCAAGCAGAGTCTTAGAAATGCAAGCACATTGCGCTAAGGCACAAAAATGAAAACGGAAGCAAACAGCTCAGTGTTGTTTAACATGCATGAAATTAAATAAAAAGGAAGTGGACTTACTATGCAGGGAGATAAATAATTCAGCAGCTGCAGAGACTGAATTCCCCCAGAGCCCAGACAACGTAATGCCTGCTGCAGCCAAACAACCTTCCCGCAGCTGCCCCAAGCATGCCCTCTGCAACCAAAGAGCTACAGCAACCCCGGCTGCTGATTTGGCCACTGGCTTTCCGCTGAGACCACCAGCAAGAAAGGGAATGGGTGTTCTGGGTTTTGGTACATTGCTATGAACAGCACAGACAGAGAGGAAGAAAAAAAATCCAGACTGCAGCCTCCCCTTGAGAGTTATGCAAGAAGAGAGGTACACAATGCGCTTTTCCCCCAGCAAAGGTTCCAGCATGATTGCAAAACCTCAGCTATCACACAAGGACCCTTTCATGACGTCTCCCAGGGTCACTAGTCACTTCAAAATCATCAGAAAGTTGGCATGGCAAGGATCCTACCATATTGCCACGACTGGCTGGCAGAGCTAGTTGTCTGGGGAAAGCCAGCATGCTGCAGCCATTAGTCCCAGCATTGTCTGAATTTACAGACTGGAAGGCCGTGGGGGTCCATAGCTGGCTGTGTCTTGGCTCACTGGGCATGAGTATGGGCTCAACTACCCATGTCATGTGGCTCATGTTGGTTTCAGGACTAGTGCTCAAGTTCAAGCACATGTTTCTTTCATGCTTGTCCCTCTCTCCTCCTTTCTTCCCAAACCTGACGTTTACCGCCTGGCAAGAAAACGGCTCACTCCAAACTCAAGCCAGAGCATGACCCAACATACATAGGCAACATGCCAGTATAAACAGACCCCTTGCGATTAACTGGGACAAGCTTAGGTACAGTACAGGCCAGAGCACGTCTCGGAATTTTCTTTTTTAAACTACAGCATTTTTTTCTGAAAACCAACTAATCTTTACCTAAAACTCTCCAGTCATAGAAATTGACTTCAATCCTTCGTAAAATTTACCTTCTTTGTTAAACTAAGGTGTTTTATTTGAAGTTAAAATGTAGCTATGCTTTAAAACCCAGCTGGTAGAATTTGTTAGATTGAAGCAGATACATCTCAGCTAACTGTAACCTTCTAAAAGCCAAGTGTCTCATCTAGACTAGTCACCTCATTTCCATCTACAGCGAGATAAACACTTCCAGAGGGTCTTTCAGTCACATTAACACAGCAATCTATTTGTGAAGAATCGTCTCTGTGAGGGCACCCCTCTCCTTCCATTGACTATGAAGGAAACTTTGTCAACTTAGATTAAGGGACTACACTTTACATATCTAATGGCATGCGAGACAAGTCCCTCTCCTCATTGAAGATTTGTTATCAAGCTCCTTTTACCATGTAGACCTTCCCCACAATATTATCAACTCATCATTTAATATTACTTTCACAGAGATTGCTTTCCCAGGCACTAATATATCAAGACTAATTTCTAACAGCCATTAAGCAACCAGAAATGAAATTATTTTAAGAACTCTTGAGTTTAATTGCCTTATACTCTTTATGACATTCATTCAAGGTTCATAATCTTTGTTGCCTCCTCCAATAATTTAAGAGACAAACCACTGCTGGGAACAGTATGAGTCCCTCCACCCCCTCCAGCCGACAAAAATTCGCAGAGTTCAAAAGAAATCTTGGAGAATGGGAGAAGAAAAAATACACAAAGAGCAATCACTACAGATATTGAGATTTATTGCTGATTTCCCCATTCTGCAAAGCTGTCAACCCGCTGCAGTTCCAGAAGGGGATTATCTCCAGAAGCCCCATGGCCTCGGTCACCGTGCCAGTTCAGACGACGTGACTAGAAACTCGTGTGCAGGAGCTTGCTGCTTACAGAACAGTTGGAGACAAAATCCATTCTTCCTGATCCTGAATTCATGGCAGGATCTGGGCTCTGACATTGTTTGGTACAACCTGCTGTCAGCTTCCAACAAAAAAACTGGCGACATCCAGTGGGGAATGCTGCTTTTCCTGAGTTCCGTTCCCTGTGCAAGGAGGGTGGTTCTGAGAGGTTCTCACCGAGCAGAGAGCAGAGCCATCAGCATGAGACAGCGCGGTTTTTCCTCTACCACATCAATCAGAAATAGTTTGTCTTGTGCTTTGAGGCAAAGGCTCCTAACCATCCTGCCAACTATGCTGCTCTCTTACCAGCACTATTAATAGCATAGTTTTTCCTTCCTAATAAAAAAACAATAGGTCTCTTTCCTTGTGTTTGGTTGCA